GCTTCCCAAGCGGCGCACTATCCAGTGCGCCACCGGGCCGGCCCTCAATTATGTCTTAATTCTCTGTTTTATGGACTGCATCAATACTTTACTTGAAACAAATGTAAAAATATTCTAAGCAGTGACTTTGGAGTTAAGGGACAGGAAAACCTCCAAGTGAGCCACCGTGGAATACAGGCACACTTTGGAACTGGCTAGATTCTTATGCTTATTTGTCCAAAGACAGCAATGCCTGTGCAACATTTTAAAGCAATCTACACATCTTAAATACCACCCATTTTGCCCATGAAAAATATTTTTTAATATCTGTTATGTTAATTCACAAACCATCTGGTGTGCCTAAGAGATATAATAGTTTTCTCTGGAGTGTGGGCTTTTGATAAAATGCTAGCTAAAACCCCTAGAGGGGCTATACCTGATCCTAATAAATGAACATTCTAGGGTTTGGGTAAGAACTAGTTAACATGTACATATTTATTAAATGCCTATGCTGACATAACTTAACATAAATTACAAACAATAAAAAAAGTTCCCATTATGTTGATCCTCTCTTTCTTCAAAGTCCTGCTTCTCTTTTAACTGCTGATCAAAGGAATACTAGAAACTTCCAAAAACTGGGAGAGCCAAAAGCCTGGAATAGTCTCTGCTCTCCAATTAGTCTATGTGTGGCTGGAGGGGTGGGGACTGGAGAGGTATAGAAAAACCAGTTACATTCTAGGTTGCTGGCCTACCATTAAGAACACAAATCAAAGGTCTCAATAGATATCCAAAAGCAGGTAGATCTTTGACAAAGTAAGGACTTTCAAGATTTTCTTTTATGGCAAAACTTTCAACTCATTTTTTGGGGCAACTGGTAGTTGAGCTTAAAAATAACAAACATCCTGAATATGTTCATTTGAAGATGACTCTACCGCTTCTAGTGTCCTCTCTGGTCAGAGCCACCGGGAGCTTGAGATCTCTTAAAGAACTCTTTACTTTGTAGGAAGACCTTCGTGTCTACCAAACTGTCTGAGCAACAACTGCTGTCTCTGAAAAACCCTCCTCTGTTACCCGTCTGATTCTGAGCCTCAGAAGGGGATGCACTACCCCAAGTCCCCTTACAAAGGTTTCTATTAGGACCTCATCTTTACTATTCCAGAAGTTTATGTTCTTGCAAACATAAGCCTGCTCGGACTCTGGGCAGCTTCTTCGTGAATCCAGTTTTATTTCAAGCAGAAATGTAATATGCATCAAACCTGGGTACTGAGCCACTACGGGAGGCCAGTGCCATGTCTCTGCATGAGGGTGGCAGTGTGGGCTAGTGAAAAGAATGTCACATGTGCTGCCAAACAGGCCCAGACTCAAGTACCCACTCTGCCACCTATCCGCTCTGCGGCCTTGAGACTCTCTAGACCACTGCAAGCTCACTTTTCTCATTTTGTATCAAGAATGGCAATACCTACCCTTGGAGCTTTGGTGTAATGAAGAGAGAACTGTCCACTAAAGGGAACCTTTGGGAGGACTCAGCTGCAAACCAAATGGGCATTCCCAGATCTGCTGAGACAGTGAGAAGGCTTTGCTGCAGGAGCCAGCATTCCTCAGGTGCCCCCTAAAGCTGGCCTGTGCTCCATGGGTTCCTGGACTCTTGCTGGAATCCCTAGCCAAGGGGGCCACCCCAGAGGACACTGGGTTGTAGAATCAGACACATACAGTGTTAGCCCTAGAAGAGACAAACCTCATCTACTCTAATCCCGGTAATACATTAATCCACAAACAAAAGGACACACTGCACAACTAGTTAGGGGCAGACTCAGAGTTGTATGAGATTATATATGTAAGAAAACGGCTCTGTCAACTTTAAGGCAATATGCAATGTCAGATACTATGCTAACAGTGCTGGCAATCTATATGAGTCTTTTTGTCATCAAGCACTACCAGAGTTCTCCAGATATCTGTAAGTCAAGAAAATGATGGGGCTCCCCTAATATTTTTAATTTTAAAGCACAGTGGCTAGACAATCCCTCAAAAGATACTAGCCATCCCTGTCAGCAGAGCCCCTTATCACCTCTGGAGGTGTCATGAATGCTGAGGGAACTGCTGGGCTCTGCAAATCACCTTGTGTTGTGTTAAAAGATCGGGCAGGCAGCTCTGTGCTGCCCATCCTCTATGTCACTGCAAGGTGTTTTCCATGAAATCTCGACACTTACTTGGAGTATGACCCAGTGCCCTTCTTTGGAAGCCTTCTCCAGTGCTATTTCTGCAACCATCTCCTGACCTTGTCCCAAAGACACATTGTGGAATTTTCCAGAATCAATTGTAAACCCAAATCTTTTGCCTGTGGGAGAATACAGCAGAGTGATAGGAAATGTCAATTAAGGAGAGGTGAGAGGAGTCTGGAACTTTGTGGTCCAATGTACATCTGTGGTCACTGCTGCCATCTCCTAGGTCACTTTTCTGAAAAATCCAAACTATACCTCTGTTGTTTCCACAAGCAGCAATTTGATCTCTCAACAGCTGCCTCACTGCAAGCATTAGAAAAGCCTGTGGAAGTCAGTTCCTCTGGTTTTATGATAATGAAGCTTTTGACATTTTGATAGATGGCAGGCATTGTTATGGAGCTTTATAAACTCTTGCAGGAGTAGCAAAGCATTTCCCTCATAAAAAGGAGCAACATGTGGTAGATATCCCATCAGTTTTTGAACCAATTGGTTCATTGGGTAAATGCACAAGCCTCTCACCTTGTGAGGCTGCATTTAAATTGAGCACAGGCAGGTCACAGCTATATTAACCTGGTATTCTCGGTGCAGGCCGTGGGGGATAGTAATCCAGAGCACAAAGCGACAGTGCCTTGCACAATCGAACAGACTTGCTCTAATGACCATTATTTAGTCATAGGGGGCACGAGATTACATGAACATGGAGAAAATTGCCCTCTGGCCCTCATATAGTCAAAAGGTGGAAACCAGTACAAAAGAAACTTGCATTATGCCAACCAGAGGAATGTTCCATTTGGACATTTCTTTATACCACAGTGTTATTAGCCTTACATTTTCCACACACCCAATCTCCAACAAATGAAAAAAGGGAAACTAAGATAACAAGCTGAAAGTCAGGTCAGGTGGACGGTGGGTGAGGGGGGGGAGGAGGGTGCACCAGCAAGCCCCCTGGCCACTTACCAAGGACCTCTAGGTCTTTCAGGGCATCTACCCCTGGAGACAGGATGAAGAATACCGGGGTGTCTGGGCTGCTTTCTTCAAATGCTTTCACCAAGTCCAATCTGGTCCTCTCTACATACTTTGCACCCAGTTTTTCCTCCACGAAATTTCTGTAAAAAAGAGTAACACAAAAAACATGATCAGTGATTTTGACCTTGAAAAGGAAACCACAGGAAAGAAGCAAACCATGTTTATTTCATGGGATGGCTTCCTGGAATGACAATGAGTCCAACTAGATTTACACAGTAGGTGTATCAATAAAATCCTTCTTCTTTGGAAGTTCTGAAAATCAGAAGGCTACATTCCATTTTTTTTGGGGGGGGAGGGGCTACTGAGACCTCCCTCTGAGTACCATCAGCTGCCTTTGTATGGCTTTGTATCCCCCAAATCCCCTGGCAGATTCCCCCATTACTTATTAACAGTTCATTAGATTTGCCACAGTGCAATTTTCCAGCCTGCTGGGCTTCTCATGAATATACAAATGCTTTTTGGGGTGTTTCTAACACAGGGAAGCTCAATTAAGCAGGGATTATTTTCCAGCAGCGTCAGATTTAGCAGAAAGTAAGTACTGCTAAGCAGAATTAACTTGTAAAGTAGAGTTCGGCAGAGGCTTCTGCAAAGGGAAAATTGGCTGAACTAGACAAAGGAAAAAACCTGAGGCACGTGAACGTTACTTGAAGAAAAAGAAGCACAATAGGGAAGGAAGTTGAGAAGTCTTTGGTTGGTGAATTCAAATTAGAATAAGATTTATGTGAATTAAGCAGCATACTACCATTTAGAAGCCAAGAGAGCAAAGAAAAAGGACACTTGAACCAAGTAGACAGGGGTTTCTGCTTTTAAATTGCATTGGTCGTAAAGTTGTAGGACTGTGAGTGTTTCCCTGAAATTCATTTTTGTTTGACATACAAAATCTTTGGAGCCAAAATGCTACCATTGAATAAAGACGATGGAAATTACACTTGGACAGTGCATGTTCCTGGCCTCTGAACTCTGCTGACACCCGTCAATTTCCTGTCTCCCCTACTGATTTCAGAATTAAGCTTTTCAGGAAGGATGTGCTGAGTCTGCCTACAGCCTAGCACACTGTTTAGTGTTTAGAAAATTTTAACAATAGCAGTGATTATAATATGAACATCTCAGCAGAATCACTTCCCACCAATATGGACAGTAAACAGGGACCTCCACCAGATACTCTTACGCCCCTAAGACTAATTTTCCTCCACGTTAACTTGCATTTCCAAAAATGCCAACTGCTTTACCTGAGAGCATATGTCATTCTGTCAGGGCGCACTGCTCTCAGAATAATCAGCTTCTGTATTAAACTTTTCTTCTTCCATTCTTGTGGTAACTTTTCCTTTTCTGGACATTCGGATTCCACCCACTTCCTCCACTGCTTGGCAGATCCTTCTACATCTCGGTCTATGCCTCGAAATTCTTCCATAAGGGCTACTGCCTGTGATAGAATAGGGAAACAGGTAGGAATGGGGTGAACAATAATTTATAGTTTGAGATAAAGACTTGTAAATGTAGCTAAACTTATGTACAGAAATTATGCTGGATAGTCTTCATTTTCCTCTCCAGATTTACTCTGCACCCTTTTCTGTCCTGCTCAGAGAATGATCTAGAAGGACTACCTGAACTAAACTCCCTGGTCCTCTGGCCTGGTTGGGTTTGGCCAACAGAAGCCCTGGCAAGAGACTGGTATACTGGAGAAGAGAGAGGCAGGGATATTTCTTCCCCAACTCTTTCCTGCTGGGATATGGTTTGCCAATGGCTATGTTCTACTGAAAGCCACAGCTCCCATAGGCTGGCTCTTTCCCATAACATCGTTTCTCAGTAGTTCCAGTAACTGCGCCTTTCCCCTTTCTCATTCCTGGTAGAACCCCTTATCCTTCTTGCGATTCTATGGAAATATATTCTTCCTTAAACTCTTTTCACCACCCCTTTGAATGTGCCATCTGTTTTCTGCTGATACCCTGGCTAATACACATTTCAACTTGAATTTATAATTCTAAAATGATAATCCAATTAAAAATACAAATTTTACACATAAAATCTACTCATGCTATAAAATAAGGAATCACATAGTTATTTTCAACATACACAAATGTTTCCTTCTTAGAAAAAGAATGGGACAAAGCTTAGCATATGTTGAACATCTGGAAGGAGCTCCAGAGCCTGAGAGAATAAACTCTTAACACTAGGATCTTCTGACAGAAAAATGAAATAAGGATTGATAATTAGGGTTGAAAAATGACTTTTACTGTTTTCTCTACAGCATTCTGTTTTGTTTAAACAGTTTATAATGAGAATAAACTACTGTATTGTTGTGTAATTCATAAAACTATTTAGAAAAGGTAGAGAAATATAATAAAAAAGAAAACAAAATAAAGAAACTAGATTTAGGTAAATTGAAAAAAAAATACGTTTATATCACTTTTATCAAAGGTCCTGATAAACTACACAAATTTATTAACAATTTTTTCATGCACACATAAAAGCTCCTTTACTTCCAAATAAGAAATTAATCAATGAAAATTAATTAAAGAATATCACATTATATAGCATATTTCTACAACTGAAATGCTCTCTAATGTATCATCTGTATTTTTCCAATTACATATCTACATTGGAGAGACCTAACATTTGAAATAAATTTTAGAAATTGAGAAACTATGTTCCTAACCTACCTTAATAGCACTCCATGACTGGGTAGTCAGGAAGTCGACGGGACTCACATATGTGTGTTCAACTGTGAATCGAAGCAGGAAATCCAATTCGAGGGGGTCTAGCTCTTTCTTTCTCAACAAAATCTTGAGAGTACACAAAATTGAAAAAAGGGTCATTTGGTTTACATCAAAATCACAGCACAGGAAGCAGTCACTATTTTAGCAGACATGATTGAACAGGCAGAATCAACCCTGCTGAGAATTCTGGCAGATAGATATCCATTCTATAGTTGAAATAAGGAATCTTAGATTATACCCATGATCTCAAAATCATGATTGGAATTCTAATAAAAATTAATGACGAAGGCTGAATTTTCCAATTCCAATACCTATCCCTATTAGCAACATATTTGAAATATGCTTTCATATTTGGTCTTTTGCTGTTAGATCAAACTTGTCTTAAAACTTATACAAAATGAGAAAGGTGACAATGGCTGAAATACTAGACAGAAGGTACAATTAGTGTTATCAGTTTTGGTATAGAAATTATGTTAAATAAATTATAAGGTACATGAAAGGTTTTTCTTCTATGTGAGATTATATTGAGAAAAAACAGAATTTTTTAATAGATATAACTAAACAAATACATCATCAGTTAGTGTTATCAGTTTTGGTATAGAAATTATGTTAAATAAATTATAAGGTACATGAAAGGTTTTTCTTCTATGTAAGATTATATTGAGAAAAAACAGAATTTTTTAATAGATATAACTAAACAAATACATCATCAGTTGGAATAAACTTTAGACGCTCTGTTTCTGTACTGTGGGCATTTCAGAGGGCACAAATGAAGTATTCCTAATTTCCACGTAGAAACTATAACACCTCACAAGGTTAAATGGGTAAAAATTTTTAGTTTTATGCTATTTTAAAATTCTAGATATTTTCAAAATGCTTTATGGGTGGTAACATACATTAAAATAATATTTTTTTCTTTGGATTTGATACTTCAGAAAATAAAATTTTATTTTATTGGATAATTAATTTTTCCCAATTTGGTTTAATTTATTTCAATAAACAAGTAATTTTCTACATAGATAGGAAACTTTGATTTATGCAGACTGCAGGATATGAGATAGATTATAATTTATTTATGGCTTCCAAGGGGAAGTTTTAAATAGATGTGTATGACATGTATTATCACCCCTGGTCCTTTCCTGTTAATGAACAATATGTACTTGTATAAAAACAAGTATTTCATTTTGTAACATCTTGCTCCTTTTTATCACATACAATGTAAAACACCTACACCCATATATTCTTATACAACTCAAAGAAATCTATGAATAGCAAAAACATTGGAAGAGAAATCGCCATTTATCATTACTAACAGCAGGTGTTTATAAAGTACTTTCTTTGGGCAAGGCACTTTGGCGGAGACAAAATAGATAAGACATAGACCTTTCCTCAAGGTTTGGATTGATGGAAAAATCCATATAGCAAACTAGCTAATCCAGGGACAACAACATGCTTAGTTCATCCAGGAATGTGACCCTCAAGGTTTTTTTTTCTTATCGTGGACACCTTTACTTAAACATCTTTCGTAGAGGTCCTATGAAAAAGAGTAAAGGGAAGGAAGCAGGTGTCACTGAAGGTGGGGGCATGAAACCTGGAGTTCTTTTTACCCAATACTATTGCCTTTTTTTCTTTCACTTTCTAATTTTATTTTTAATTGACAAATAATAATTACATGTATTTATGAGGTACAGTGTGATGCTTTGATATATGGTTATGTTGTGGAATGGTTAAATCAAGTTAATTAAAATATCCATCTCCTCACATATTATTTTTTGTGGTGAGAACATTTACAACCTACTCTTAGCAATTTTGAAATGTACATTACTATTGACTATATACAACAAAATACTGTTCGACCTTTAAAAAGATGGAAATTCTGTCATTTAAGACAACACGGATGAACCCACTCACTGTCTTTTGAGAGACTCTGAGAAATTCCTAGAATCACTCAGATCTGGACTCATAACCCTGATCTCAAAGAACCTTTCTGGCAGTACTTGGAAAGTTCTTTGTGGGACCCAAGAAGGTGAGGAAAATGTCTCATTGATGTTTTTAAGGATGACTGCTATAGTGGGAGCTTAAAGCGCATACCCTCTTGAACCAAAGCACTGTGACCTAGGAGAAGGCTGTCACATGTCCTAGCTCCCTGTGGGAAATTCACTCTCCTCATGGCAATAAGTACTTCAAAAAAAAAAAAAAAAAAAAAAAGGACTGTGCTTTTCTTCAGCAGAAGTAACATACATAATAAACAGAGGCATCTGCCTTTGGTTCTGGAGATGCTTTTCAGTGACTGATCTTACCTGAAAAGCCATCTGGGATAGGAAGATAAGCTTGTCCTTTTCAAACAGCGCCTGGGTGGTGTACAGGAAGATGGTGTGGGTGATGCTCTCCATCAGGACAGAGATGCGCCCGTGCGTGTCCTCCACCTTGTCAGCCTGCTCGATGGCTCTGTGGAACAGCATGTTGAAAGCCTAGGAAATTTAATGTGACCATTTATGTAAAGGTGACAGTTGGTGCCTGAATGTCTAGTTAGCCCCAGATACACAGGGCTACAGTTTAGCGTTTATTTTTAGGGACAGAGAACAGGCAGGATTTTTATGAAGATTATATGAGCTCTTAAAACAGTTCCTGGCGCATGGTAAGAGCTTATTAAATGTTTGGAGCCATTACTGTTGTTATTACACGATTCCACAAAATCCACCCGCATCTCCCTTGAGCAACTGAATTGTATTATCCTTCTCTCCTCTACCCATGTATTAAAAAAAAAAAAAAAAAGTTAAGCCAACTTGCATTCCTGGCATAAATTCCAATTGATCATAATATATTATGCTTTTTATATATGGTTGGATTCAACTTCACAAATGGATACAATCAAGATACCTAGAATTCACTTATTTAAAAGGACAGAGTAACTTGGAATTCCATTTCCTTGCTTAAATTAAAATTCAAAAACCACACAATGTAATTCATATTAACAGGAGAAAAGAAAAAAACCATATGATCATTTAAATTAATGTAAAGAACTTGACAAATGTCAACATAGTTTAAAAAAAGGAAAGAAATACCTCTCAACTAACTAGGAATGGATGGTAACTTCTCAACATGACAAAAAGGCATCTATAAAAATCTACAGCTAACATTATACTTAATGTTTTTTTTTTTTTTCCCACTTTTTTTTTTATTTTTATTTTTTTTATTTTGTCAATATACACTGTATATGATTATTATGGCCCGTCACCGACACCTCCCTCCCTCCTCCCTCTCTCCCCTCCCCCCCAAGAATGTCCTTTCCGTTTGCTTGTTGTAACAACTTCATGGAAGTATAGTTGTTATATCTTCTTCCCCACCCCACCCCCCTCTGCTTGTTCACTATTGGTGAAAAGAAATGCTACTGATTTTTGTGTGTTGATTTCATTATACTTAATGTTGAAAAACTGAATGTTTTCCCCTAAGATCAGCACTTCTATTTGACACTGCACTGAAAGTTATAACTTTTTTTTTTTCACAGACGACCTGACCATGTATGTAGAAAATCCTAAGAAATTTACAAAAAAGTTACTAGGTCTAAGAGTGAGTTTTTAGCAAGGGTGCAGGACACAACATCAATATGCAAAATCCCTTGTATTTCTATATATGAGGAACAAACAATCTGAAAGTAAATGTAATAACTTGGTACTATTTACAGTGGTTTCCAAAGCCATCAGACTCTAAGGGATAATTTTAATAAAATTCATGCAAGATTTGTATACTAAAAACTACAAAATATTGTTGAGAAAACTAAAGAAGGCCTAATTAAATAGAGATATATCATATTTATGGATTGGAATACTCAATATTGTTAAGTTAATTTTCTCCAAATTGATCTATAGATTCAATTCAGTCTCAATCAACAATCAATATTCCAGAAGGCTTTTCTTTTCCTTTTTTTTTTGTAGAAATTGGAAAGCTGATTTCAAAATTTGTGTGGAAAATTCTAAGGACTTAAAATAACTAAGAAACTTTGAAAAACAAAATAAAGTTGAGAGACTTACAGTACCTGAGTCAAGGCTTATTATAAATCTACACTAATCAAGACAGTGTGGTATTGGCCTAAAGAAAAACGCAAAATGCCTAGATCAATGGAACAGAATAGAGAGTCCACAAATAAACCCACAAATGCATGGTCAATTGATTTTCAGCAGTGGTGCCAAGAGAATTCGATGAGCAAAGGATACGTTTTACAACAAATGGTGTTGGAACAACTGGATATCCACGTGGAATAAAACAAACCTCAACGATTATATCACACTATATACAAAAGTAATTAAAAATGAATTGGCTTAGCTATAAAATTGCTAGAAAAAAATAAGAGAAAAACTTTGGGATTTGTGTTGGGCAAAGATTTCTTAGGACACAATAGAAAGGAAAAATTGATAAACTGAACTTTATCAAATTTAAATGTTTATGGTCTTCAAAAGACACTGTTAAAAAGATGAAAAAGCAAAGCACAAACTAGCAAAAACAATATTCCCAATACATATACCTAATGAAGAATTTGTATCAGATTATATAAAGAAGTTGTACAACTCAGTGATAAGAGTTGAACAAGCATATTACTGTGGTTTGAATATTTATCCCCTCCAAAGCTCATGTGGGATTCCCAATGTGGCAGTGTTGAAAGGTGGGGCCTTTAAGAGGTGATTGCATTGTTAGGACTATGCTCTTATGAATGCATGGATCCATTCATGGAGTAACGGGTTAATGGTTTAACAAGTTATCATGGGTATGGACTGGTGGCATTACATGGAGAGCAAGTGAGCATGTTCATAAGTGCTCTCTCCCAGCCCTCATTATGCGATACCCTGGTCACCACAGGTCTCTGTAGTGAGTTCTCACCAAGAAGAAGGCCCTCACCAGATGTGCCCCCTGGACCTTGGATATCCCAACCTCCAAAACTGTAAGAAATAAATTTCAATTTTTTATAAATTACCAAGTTTCAGGTATTCTGTTATCAGCAACTGCAAACTGACTAATACACATGTTATATAATAAGACAAATGTATTACCCATAAGTATATTAAAAAATGCTCAGCAGTCATCAGGTAATGCAAAAGAAAAACAGAATGAGCTCTTACTATGCCCAGTAAAATAGCTGAAATTTTAGAAGACTGTCAGTACCAAGTGTAGCACAGATATGGTACTGCAACTTTTTCATATTGCTGGAGGGAATGCACCATGGTAAAACCATTCTGGAAAACGGTTTGGCAATTTCCTATAAAGTTAAGTATGGAGTTACAGTATTATAATTAAAGTTGAAAAATTGAATGTTCTTTTCCAGAGGAGTTTAGCAACAATGTTCCTGAGGGAGACCACTCTGTAGTTTTCTTTTCCTGTAATTTCCTTAGTCTAGTTTTGGTTTTTGAGTACTACTGGGCTGACACTACTGATTTAGTTTTATTGTTCTCCTCATACACTGTTGCTGCTCCCAAATCCAACCACATTGTGCTTGTCTGAATTTTTGCATACTAGTTCTGTACTACTAGGAAACCTACTAGTTATGTTTGACCCTCTCATCTTCATCATTGCCTGTATCCAATCCATTTCCAAGAGCTAATGATTCCAGCTTCAAATCATATCTCAAGTCTGTTCACTTCTCGGAGTCTTTTGTCATCCCATCAGTCATCTGCCTGAAGCCTTTCAATGGCTTCTTATTGCACACAGAACATAATCCAAAATCCTTAATGTCGTCCACAAGGCTGCACGTGATCAAGTCCTTCCCACCTTTCTACATTCATCTCTGGCCACATTCCCCCTCATCCATTACCACGCAGCCACCCAGATTCATTCACTACCTGGAATCCCAAACTCTTGCATGTCTCACATATTTCCCGTTTTCTCCAAACGCTCTTTACATGGATAAATCCTTCAGGAATCACCTAAAATGTCACTTCCTCTGAGAGGCCTTCCCTGAGACCCCAGTGAAGCAGCCCCTCCATCCCTCTTATTCTCTCTTATTGTACTTACTGCTTTTATAAACACATATATATGCTTATATATGACAACACATATGATTATAAAGGCGGTGATTTATATATGTGTGCATATGTACATGATATATACAAATACAGATATATGCATATGTGCATATGTAGGATATATATAAATATAAAATATTATATCAAAACTGTATACTCAGTGACTAGCATCTGGAATGATGATTGACGTCAATAATTATTGCTTAAAAACTGATGGAAAAATGAATGAATACTGCCCAGAGGCAGAATGGTTTAAGGTAAAGAGCATGGGCTTTGGAATCAAACAGTCAGAGGTTCAAATCCTGGTTCTTACAATTACAAAATGTGACTTCTTAAAAAAATCTATTTATAATCTGAAAATGTTAGAAAAGTGAGGAAAAAGCTATATACTTTATTGGGATGTTAGAGGGGTATAAAATGATCCGGAGTATAAAATTGCCTTGAAGTAACAGTGTCTTAACAAATGGTTCTTATTCTATTTCTTCACCAAAGAAATATGGGAAATCTCTTCATAAGACACATTTTCACAAAGACAGAATAGGAGCCTGAAGGAAAATTACCTCATATTTAATATCCCTCTTAAGACTCTGTTTAGGAACAGTACACAAATGTCATATGACATCACATCTATAGCTTAATTATCTCAATCTTACTGAAAATTATGAATGAAAAAGTTCACGAGGGAATAAGGATGGATTTTTGTTTTGTTTTTGTTTTTTGAGTCTTTTTTGCTAACTACATCCTTACGATTCCTTGCTGGGTACACTGATTGCTTAAAAGTAAATTCTAAATTTCCAGAAACAAGTTAAATTCTTGAAGCTTTCAACTTTTTTTTTTAGCCTATTCAGCATTACCTTCAAAGAGAATTGATAGATGGGGTTGATTTTTCTGAGGTCATTAATAACAAAATAAAGAAGAGATGAAAATTCTAAATTTCCAGAAACAAGTTAAATTCTTGAAGCTTTCAACTTTTTTTTTTAGCCTATTCAGCATTACCTTCAGAGAGAATTGATAGATGGGGTTGATTTTTCTGAGGTCATTAATAACAAAATAAAGAAGAGATGCTCTTGCTGCCACTGGTCTGTAACATTCTCGAGCGTCATTGATTCTACTTTCATTTTCTTTGGCTTCAATCACCTATAGTGGGATCAAACAAAATAAATACTTACTCTTCATATTCTCTAGACCTACCCAAGTAACAAAAGGACATATATGAAATACAAAATTTAGTACTAAAACAAACAACATGCATAGTATCTTTGTGCTCAAGCTTTTCTAAAATTATTAAATTCATATTGTAAAATTCATTTTTTTCATAAACTGAGCTTCATAATTCTAGCTGCTTTGTAGGTTACAGATTAAAAAAACCTGGGCTGGCCCTGTGGCTCCCTCGGGAAGGTGCGGTGCTGACAGCGCTGATGCCACGGGTCCGGATCCTATATAAGGATGGCCGGTGCGCTCGCTGGCTGAGCGTGGTGCCGACAACACCAAGCCAGGGGTTGTGATCCCCTTATCGGTCGAAACAAAACAAAACAAAACAGAACAAACAAAAAAACCCTAATTGTTTTTGGTTCTACAGAATTTGTTTCTGAGTAATGTCACCTTCCTGCCTCCCTTCTCTCTTTCAGAGCTTAATAATCCAGCTGTATCACCTCCCAGGGATGGCTCTTAAAAGTCTGATGGGTCAATTCAATGCCAATAACTTTATTAGGCAACAAGGTCTACAAAAGCAGCCAAGGTCAATAATATATTCACTAATTATGCATACTAAAAAGCCTTTATATGAAGACTCTCATGACTGTCTAATTTTGATTTTGCACCAGATCATCCATATACTCATATATTTCCACTTCGTTTTACCTTTATGTATTAGCCTCTGGGTACATTCAGAGAGAGAATTTTAAAAATTCACCACCATCAACCAACACATTCACTTTTATTCGAGGCTCAAATATCTATTTCTTTTACCTAGGGCTGCTGGTCCTACACCTATACAGTATTTTCTTCAACCCTTTCTATAGGCTTGATTCATAATATTTGTGTATAAAGGAAATAAAATGTAGAGCAGAGACGGAAGTCACCAAATGGCAATATATTAAGAAGATAGGAAGAGACATTTTAAGAGACAATTAGAAGTTAACTTCAAAGCTAAGACCTAATTTACTTAATTGCCCTAATCTTTACCATTTTAGGAACCACCTAGAATTCGCTTACTTAAAAGGATGGAGTAATCTGGGATTCCACTTCCTTGCTAAAACTAAGGCAAATATATTGGGATGTGTGGTGACACAGCTTTTGCTGGGTAATTAATAGATTACATAGTAATGAGAGTATTTCAGAAAGCAAATAAGGGTCTGATTATTACTTTGAAACAATGGAATTTTAAGGGTTAATGGCTCCTTGTGACAATCCAAAGTGCACACCACACATAAGGCATATTGGGACCCACACTGGACATTAAGCAGGAAGCCTACTTAATGAAAAATTTTTTACTGGCTTTTTGAAATGTCATTTTCCCAGGGTGAATAATGCATTTAAGTACAGCAGGAGACCATCCCTTGCTCAATCTTCTGCCACTGCAGACCTGTAAACAAAACTTCAACTCTAAAGATTTCTTTAAAATGACCAACATACTGGGAAACCGGAGTGAGGCTGTCGGATGTTAATTTGCCTGAGTTGGATGCTAACCCTTTTTAGATTTTCAATGATATAAGCCAGCAGGCTCCAATTTTCTTCAAAGTTGGCCACTCAGGAAAAATAATAGCCTGACAGAGCCTAATTTGAGTGATTGGATCTTTGCGGAATTAGGAGAAACATACATTCAACCATCTCCAACTCCATTCAGAATCACTTCCAGTCCAATTTTTAAGGGCAGTTTATTAAATGACCTGAATTCCACAAGTCAGTCCACTCAGAGGAATTACTAAGTTTGGCTACACCTTCACCCAGGCATGTCATTCAAACAGAGCAGTAAAACCTGCCAGGCGTCCTCTGCCCTTTCCTACCTTGTGTTCTATCTCGGCCGCGGTAGTCTTTGTTGCCTCCAATTTCTCTACCAGTTTGGTGTCATCTAGAAAACTTCCCTCTGCCGCAGAAAGGCGCAGAAGGAGGTCGTCCTCCAGATATTTCAACTCTATCTTAAAATCATTTTGGTGCTTTGTCAAAGCCAACTAATACAAACCAAGAAATGTGCAAGAAATGGTGGTTAAATACAAGTTTTTAAAGCAGAGTTTCCTTAATCATAAATTTCATGGAATCAGCATATAATAAAACATACTTAACATTAAAATCATAATTTCTAAAAATTCTTTTAAAAAATTCAGAAGGCATGTTAAGATCTTGTTGCACTCCATGGTCCAGAATTTGAACACTTATCATAATCATTTAACATCATGGTCCTGTAAGAAGAATCTGTTTGAGAAAACATCAGAAACTTCCAGTTTCCACTCCAACATGCAAAGAGTTTGGAAGTCTCACTTGTATCGTCACAATAAGAAAAAAGCTAATAAATGATTCTTACTTCTATCACAGAACTGAGGTCATGGGGCAAACCATGACCCTGAAAACTGGAGAGACTGGCAAATACAGAGAATGACAGCTCACCAGAAAGATTTAAATGGTAATTGCTTAACTGCTGGAGGCAGAGCTTGAGAGTTAAAAATTCCTGGGGGCCCAGTTCTAGAGGGCCCTTTACACTTTTCTGAGTTTTACCTCCACGAGCCACACCAGGTTCACACAGTGATGATCAGAGAAAAATCTACCCTGCTTTGGGCAGAGGGAGGGGAAAAGTAAACATTTTGAAATAAGCCCAATGGAAAGTAACCATTTAAAATATTCCCAGAGCTTTCTCTTCTCCTTAACAAATGCCTGCCCACAAGGGAAACTACTTGACCACAGCCTAATTTGACTTAGGGGAAGGGCAATTAGACATCTCAGCCCCCTCTAGACTTCCTATCTCACATAGTAAGGGTATATTTTTTAAAAAGGCTAAGAAACTGTTCTGAAGGTCACATCCCAGTGACTCAGGCCCACTAAAACCCCCTAAGATTTAATGATAAGGTTATATTAAATTGATAAGAACAGATACTACAGTTGATCTTAGCCAAAAGGCCAAGATGCAATAATGATAAGATTATAGAATGCTTCCCTTCCACCTTACCACCACATCAACCAACCTACAACAACATCAATACCACTGAGAGTGCTGCAAGACACAGATCCTATTTAAGAAGGAGGTTTTAGGGAAACCTGAAGATAACAGAGGATACAAAAACAAGGACGCTAGACTAAATTGAAGCCTATGACACCTACAGCTACAGCAAACATTAAACACAGCCTGCTGTGGTTGGAATGCCCCCCCCCACCCCACAAGCTCATGTTAGAACTTAACACCCAATATGGTGGTGGAAGGTGGGAACTTTAAGAGCTGTTTGGATAATGAGGACTGTGCCCTTGTGAATGAATTGATGCATTCATGGAGTAATGGGTTGATGGTTTAATGGGTGTGGTTCTGATAGCTTTATAAGGAAAGCAAGTGAGAAGTTTAGCTCTCTTGCTCAGCCCATTTTTGCCATGTGACATCCTGGTCACCAAGGGACTCTCTGTAGAGTTCCTACCCAGAAGAAGGCCCTCATCAGATGTATTCCCTGGACCTTAGACTCCTCAGCCTCCCAAACTGTGAGAAATAAATTTCATTCTATTTATAAATTAGTTTGTGAATTAATTTCAGGTATTCTGTTGTAAGCAACAGAAACAAACTACTGCACAGCCTAACTTCTAGCCATATAAACATAAAAGTTCACACTAAAGCACTATTTACCTCATTTCTAATTATCTGATACATCATGTCTGCCTTTCAACAAAAAAGTACAAGGCATGCTAAAAAGCAAAAAAACAGTCTGAAGAGAAAATGCAAATATCAGAACAAGACTCAAGTATGGCAGAGATTTTGAAAGGTTCTGATAGACTGGGAATTAAAAATAACTATGCTTAATATGCTAAGGGCTTTACTGGGACATGCAATACTACATGGACAATGTAAGCAGAGAGATGGACACTAAGAAAGAATCAAAAAGAAATATTGAACACAAAAACACTGTAACAGGAATAAAGAATGCTTTTGATGGGCTCATCAGTAGGCTGGACACAGTCAAGGGTAAAATGAGCTTGAAGATATGTCAATAGAGACTTTTTAAACTGAAAAGAAAAGAGAAAAAAGAATAAAAACAAAAAAGGAAAAAAAAATCCAAGAATGGTGAGACAATTACAAGGAGAAGAGGAAAAAAAGCAGAAGAAATATTGGAAGTAATAATGGCTAAGAACTTTTCAAAATTAATGACAGACACCAAACCACAGAGCCAGGAAGCTCACAGCAGGATAAATATCCAAAAATCTATACTTAGGCACATCATATTCAAACTGCAGAAAATCAAAGACATACAATCTTGAAAGACTCCACACAAACCAAAACCTTACCCATGGAGGAACAAGGTAAGAATGACATGGAACTTCTCTTTTTTTTTTTTTTTTTT